CGTGTGTAGGGCCCTTTATATGTAGACGGTGGATGTTTATCAGGGTAGCCAACTAATTTTTGAGAATTACCCGATTTTGCCCGAAATTACGTAACATTCCCCACTCATCTCCAGATATCATTCAGATAACTCTTTATTTACAAAACGAAATTGTATCTATTTTGATATATTGCTGGTCTTTCTGTTTATTTTATTATTATGTATTCATAAGCCAAACCAAACTTTTATAAAGTTAGTTAACAAACAAAGAATAAAAAATGTTTATATAATATTAACATAAATACAGTGGTCGAACAAATTTTAGTCGCACCAAATTTTGCCAAGTTTCACAATTTATTTATATTATTTGTTATTTAATTTGAGTTATTGTTTTATAATATATTATTCCCACTTTAACGAAAACCGTATAAATCCAAGTTTCAAACTTTGTACAATATTAAAAAAAAACGAAAGGAATAATTTAATTAAAATCCAATTCTATGTAATATGATAATATTAAACAATTTGTATTGTACTTGACGCCGTTTTTTATAAAAAATGATTGTGGAATGCTGTTTGTGTTGTTTATAAATGGTTGAAGTTATAGCTGCCAATTTTAGGTCGTCGAGTGATCTTTTAAGAACTGCGTTGAAGACAGCCGGTAAATATAAACACATTATGGGTATTCATGTAATCGCGTTAATGTCTCGTAACCACTTAAATCTCGTAAGTAAAATAAATTTCCAGACAAAATTAAGTAAACTTAAGGGGTTTCCGTCGTTACAAGGCTTTAGATGAATTGCCGTAGTGTATACAGTGTAGGTAGATATTTTTAGGCTTCATTTTCTGCATAAATATCCGCAGTCTAGTAATATGCTAGATTTTTATAAAAAATACTTATACATTAAATAAACAAATGAATAAAATTACAGTTTAAAAAATTAAAACCTCCCTATTATAATTGCCATTCGTACTGTCATCAGGTATGTAACTTGAGAATAGAAATCGCTGCATCTTTTAGGCGCATCAATATTACATAGTTACATCCCGAGCTAATAAAAGCAAGGTAAAAAAATAGTCAAAACTGGTCAAACTGTTTCTTAACTTAATCAATAACAACAAGGGTATATTTTAAATTAAAATAAAAACAAACATAAGTTCCAAACTTGCACCTATTCTTTTGTCCATGAGTGTACATACATACATAAGTCCCTAATCACATTTCAAGACGTGCTTACATAGATAACTATTAAATGAAACTGTCTTCACTCAGGCAGTATGTACTACTCGTATGGTGTTATCCAATAACAGCTCGTTAAACCATGCTCCATACGCAGAAAAAGAGAAAGTGGGCAAAATCAATAACGCCAGCTTCGACCAAAATGTTTTGTTTTTATCGTGCCGAACAGTGAAACGAGATGTCGTAATCATTACATTTCGACATTCATGGATACCTAAGTATAAAGCGATTGGCAAAAGACACTGAAATCCAAAGTGACCACAAATCCTTCAAGTGATAATTTTGATTTTTTTTTATTATAAATATAAAAGCAAGACACCTTTCAATTCTGGAAATCTGTTGTTATTCATTGCCTCGCAGATTTATTATTGGTAAATGTATGTATGTACATGCGTATGTTTGCTCATATGAACCATTTGCTGCACCCATTCAGGCACCTCTAATGAATTAGGCATTAGTTAGCTGAACTTTGTTATTTGTTGGCGATCGTTTTGGTGCTCTAATAAATACACATGTATGTACATAATTGTTCCACGCTTGTGCAATTACAGTATTACGCCGTAAATATTCATATTCCTGTAAATACTAGGCATCTACAGGAGCACCAGTTCGACAATTAATTTATGAAGCTCTTTCGCCTTTTACCTCGGTTACATCCTATACGGGCGACTGCATTGGGTCGCCGATGCAAATATGCTATACTTAATGTAAGTTTATCTTTCTACAAATTTTACATTTAAATATATCAAAACAATCACTTACTACACAAATTACGTTAAAATAGCAATTTCCACTGCAACTACTCCTTTTTTCTAAATTATTCCACTTTGTCTCGATGCAAATTAATTAAAAACACGTCTGCACCAAGTAAGCACAAGCAAAAGTCGAATTGGAATGATTTTAGGTTTGTTCCACACGAGCTCCCAAAACAACCCACAAACAGTGTTGCCACTTGAACATAATTTAAGGTACCAAAACGCCTACCAAATCAGTTTCTAAACTACCAAAATTTTTTCATCATTAAAACAAGATTTCTCGAGTTTGCGGGGTTTTAAGCTACACAAATTAGCAGTAAAAATTAAAACTACACGAAATATTGTTTACAGTATTGGTTAACCATTCATACCAATCTTTAAGATTAAACAAAAGAAATTCGGGCCTTTAAATAAAAGAATTAACGTATTGTATAAAAGCTTTTGTAAAATGTGTAAATACCCTTGAGACTGATTCAATTCATATCAAATTTTATTTTGTGTGTGAAAAAACAAAAGCAGACATTTTATGCATTTCAATAAAAAAAATTCCAAACTTGATTCAATTTGCATACACTCGCCCTTTTTTACCAACACACTCACACTTTGCAAATTGCCTATCGCCAATTTTTCTTTCAATTATAAGTAATTTCTCGTTAATTTGAACAGCTAATCGGTCATATCTTTGGGAAGTGAGTTCTTGGGAAGTTGGTTCTTGTTTATAGAAAATTGTCTGCTTAATAAAATATAGAAAAAATAAAGAAATCTTATACGTGTAAGCAAAGTGAAAGCAGTGTTTTGAACGCGTAAACGCAAATTAAGCGAACAAATTTTAATGTTCAATTTGGTTGTATTTGCAAAATATTTTTGCCTACTAAAAGCTTCATCAAACCAAATCATTTGAGGGATTCACACCGGTGTCGTAAGTGCCGTATTGTTGTATGTCGTAAGCTTTAAAAGCTTAAATAAATGCTTAAAGGACGTGAAACGACAACCAACTATTAACACTGCAAAAATTCATAATATGACTTTGATGGTACTTTTCGAGCCTCTTTAATATATTTTTAAGGCGTTTAAAGTTTACTATATACAACAATACGATACTTATGACACCGCTGTGAATACCCCAATTATTAATCAACAGAAAATTAAGCTGTGAAAAGCGATCTGGTAGCTCTGACAGAAGAGCAACTTGTCAGCACTAAAAATTTTTACATTCCATAACAAAAAATTTCCTTGTTTATTCAAGGAAGACAATTTCTTATCTATTAGTCCGCGTCTTATCAAAATAGTTAATAACCGCGGCGAAAGGTGACAAAAAATATGTCTATCTATAACGATCTTCCGGAGGTAAATGTATGCTTTTTAACTTAGTAAACGCAATTTATAAACATGAATTTTAGGAACATCCACGAAAACTTATACCCGAACTATGCCGGCAGTTTTACCATCTTGGGTAAGAGGAATCAATTATAAGTACATTTGTATGTATATTTATCAGTAATAAATTACTTCTAGCTGGGTAACCGGCACTGGAGGAGGTATGAGTATTAAATACAAGTAAGTATGCTCGAAATAATGTGACGAAATCTCATCTAATATCATTGATATTTCATGCAGCAATGAGATTTACATAGCGCCGTCCGGAGTACAAAAAGAGCGCATGCAG